CGATTCACGGACAACCAATGGCTGAAGCTCAAGTTTTTTCGAAGAGTCAATGTGTCGAAGGGCTGACGTGACAACAAAGCATCACAACMTTGTGTTGTTGGTAGAAAATCCGAGCTGTGCCGAAAACACAAACGAACGATCGCCAATTGCCACTGCTTCCCTTGCCGCTTTAGCAGCTTCAAGAACAAACCAGGGTAAATATGTATGTTTCTGTATGAGCTGCATACATATCGACGCAGAATTTTGCAAGCCGCGTACAAATATTTTTTACATTCCTTGACAAATACAGTCAATCCCGGTTATGTGCCACAATCAAAGATACAGATTTTTGTGATTTGTTAAAAATAAAAATATCATATGCCACATAAGCGAGTGCGGATACTTAGGCAAGTGGTACTTAAAATAATAAAATATATGTATTTCAAAAAACAAACCGTGAGGTGCAGCAAGATATGGGCAGTTAAGAGGGATGATTTTCATTGAAGCGGAATACCACTTAACCGGGATTCACTGTACACATAAATCAGAGGAATATTGAATATTTTATTTGGCACATTTCTTGACTTGAAAATCGACAAATAAACTGTGTTGTCAATTTTATTCTAATATAATATATTTTAATACTTATATTTGCGGGGTTGTCACCTTTTCCTTCTCATACAAATATCAGAAATTGTTCAATTTATAATTTTTAGCTTTTGCGTCGTACACATATGCATGTACATATAGAGCAGTGCGAGCACACTTTTTACTGATAAATGATAATATTATGATTTGAATTTGMATTGTATTTCCATATGTATGTACATATATGTGTACATGTATGTAATTATGCGCTGATATGTAGATGTGTATGAAAATTAAATGACATATTATTGTAATATTTATATTAAGTTTTTATGATATTATGATAGTATCTCATATATGTACATACATATGTACTATATCATATTTACAAACTCAAACATAAAAAATATTTAATAAATAACTCTTAATTGCACATTAACTACAAATATTGTTTAGAAAATAGCGTAATATAATTAGAATGTTATAAATTATGCATATATTCATAGAAATACGCAAAATGATAATCATATCACTAATATGATTGTATGTAAACGTATAAAATTATATACAAAGGGCAAACATATGTCTGTTATAGCAATGCATGTTTGTGAGCATAATTTTCATTGAATGCTCTGCTCTGTTCTCGCGCCACTGTTAAAGATTCTCCTTCTTAGCTAGCTGTGGTCAAAGCACGAAAAGGAGCTGCCTTTACGCCGCGATGTTTGAATCTCCTGTCATCAAACAAACAGTCGTCGCACTCACGTCACTTGGCACTCACGTCACTTTTGTCAGTCATAGCTTTGAAGTTGTGGATAATTTCGTCTATCTTGGAACCAGTTGGTGGTGTTTACCCAACAATATCAGCCTGGAAATCCAACGCAGGATAACTCTTGCCAACGGGTGCTACTTCGGACTGAGTAGGCAATTGAGAAGTAAAGTCCTCTCTCGACAAACAAAAACCAAACTCTATAAGTCACTCATAATTCCCGTCCTGCTAAATGGTGCAGAGGCTTGGACGATGTCAACAACAGATGAGT